CACAAGTTATAATAGTTTAATTAGGTCTTTTATTTTCATTTATCGCTTTATTTTTAAGGGTTTGTTTTTGGCTATGTAAATACATGAAGCCTTGTAATAGCGTAGTTTAATTTCCGCACTTTAAATTCCGCAAAATATTAACTGTTAGATGTATGATTAGGGTTGCATGACAAGAATGTATGATTAACTTTAAAATAGTTAGATAACTCTAAAATGTGCAAAGATAATAAACTTGAAATTGAATCACTCGCACATGCGCACTCCTAGGGTATACTCCCACTTTGGTTGCCTTTGGTAAACGGTCATTAGGTATAGGATGCTTTAGTGGTCGTCCTTTTGTCTCAAAGATCAAAGTTGCCTCGGAATGGTTGCCTCTGATATTGTTGCCTCGAATAATTGATCTAAGACATTAGGGTTATTACTAAGACGTCCTAACATTGCTTTGGTGACCGTACGTCCCTTTTGAATTGACCCTCAAAACTCCAACGACGGTGCTACCTACTCACTAATAGTGGGATAGCGCTGTCTAAAGGAAACGAACATAGAACAATTCTTTTTTCAAGTAGGTAGATTAGTTCTTAAGTACTTGCTCAATCCAAACAAACTTTTTTTCACACTTACACTCCTTTTCAAACAAAGTTTTCAAAAACACTTCGTAACACTCTTGAAGACAGAAGCAAGGGTTAAGTCGAAGTCAAAACAAAAACTTTTCAAAACACACAAGCACACAAAGAAGCAATTTTGAAAATGATGAGCAAGTACCTAAGAGCCCGTAGATAACTACGAATATAAAGGGTGCTAATACCTTCCCTTTCTATAATCTACCCCCCCCCCCCCCGTACTCAGAAATATCTCGAAAAAGGATTTTTTCTGTGCTTTTTTCCTTTCCTTGTTGGATAAAATAAAAGACAGTGGCGACTCTTGCTTACCACGACATTTTTCAAATACAAACGCAAAATGCAAACCAGCATTTTCCTAAAACAGTTCGGTTCTTCCACCGTATCACATTCCTGAACTGTCTCATCATCATTCATATTCAAATTCTCAAATTTGGTAGTGAGAAGTTAAAGTCTTGAAATCTTCACTTTAGAGGTGCCTTCATAAGTTGTCTTGACAATTTCTCAAGTATCCTTGGCTACAATACATGTATTAATTAACTTAAACACATTATTGTCTACTCCAATGAACATAGCATTTAAAGATTTAGAGTTTCCAATAGCCTCTTTATCATCAGCTTCATCCCAATCTTCCTCTATTTTTGTAGATATTGTTTTTCCATCTTTGTCCCTTAAAACAGGATGTTCTCATCCTTTCAAAACAGCCTTCCAAGCTTTATTTTCCATAGATTTCAGAAAATCTACCATTCTAACCTTTCACCAGTCATAATTTAAACCATCCATCATATGTGGTCTGTTGTTATACCCTTCTTCTTTCTCCTTAGTACCAGAAAATTATCTCCCTGGATCTCACCCAATAAATAGAACAAACTGCATGCTCTTGATGCCAATTGAAATTATGGAATTGTAATAATAGAAGTCAAGACTGATGTCTCAACAATACATAAAAATTTATGCAGAAAAGTAAATTGCATAAACTTAAAGAACACAATCAATTGTTAACTCAGTACAGTGAAACTCACCTACATCTGAGGGCTACCAAACCGTGAAGAAAATCCACTATTAGTAGTATCAATTTGAAGCCTAAAAAAATCCTAGTTTACAACTTCTCACTTAATCCCTACTCTGTACAACTTCCACCTAGAAACCTCTTAGATATGAGAATCCCTCTCACTCCCTATTACCACATGGATATCAAACAATCTCAATCCTAGGGAATGTCTCAATAAACTAAAGAGAAGATTGCTCTTCCAATAAAAAACACTTAGATTTTCTTAAAAGCTTAACTAAGAACAATACTCAACTTTTTGCTTAAGAGCTTAGAGGAGAACAATAACTTGATAAACAAGTAAAATCATTCAAACTCAATGCATCAAAAGATATATGAGGACGTACAAAAACACACGAAAACCTAAGGACCTCTCAAACCCTAAACCATTATTTTCGCACAATCAATTTACAAAAAAGAATTCTTAAAAAACTAGGTCTTGGACGTCCCCTTAAATAGACTATTGCAGTGGGCTTGGACTCTTCAATCAAATCCAATCAGCAACTCCAAATCCCTATAGAATCTTCTCCATAAAAATAGAAACAAATATCATAAATATTTCCTAAAAACTCTCAAAGATACTTTTTATGAAACTAATCAAATCTGCAATTGTTTCTAAAAAAATCTTTGATTGTTTGCGCCTGTATGACTACTAGAATATTCCAGAAACTCATATTTTCAAATCAAATCTTCAAGGATACATACTAGTTGTACTATCGTGATGTTCTAGTGTAACATGTTACGGCATCAGTTAGAACATCTGTCAAATAAAGTTCAGCAAACTATGTTGTACCAGTTGGTCAAGATGTTATGAGATATTGCTCATCATTAGGCTGCAATACATATTTTCCAAATGAAACATATTTTGATCAAATTGTTGTCAACTAATTGTTTTACCAAAATTGTTGCCAAGCATAAAATCACAGACCTAACATTATTTCTCATATAATTTACGAATTAAATCAAATAAAAATCACCACTCAAGAGTGTCACACTTTATAGAAAATATCATAATAACAATCATGCTCCGTAACACAGGTTACATTAATGTTAAACATGCATTTAATTATAATTTATCATATCATTTAAAATCATCGTGATAAATTCATCGTCATAATTAAACTCCTTCTTAAAACAAAACTCATAACATCACAACTCAATTAAAAGTTGGAATTCAAATTGATTTAACAATCAAAACCGTCATAAATTTATGTCAACATCGAAAGAACATAACATTCGCAAAACATAGTGTTCTCAACCTGATGTTACATATCATAGCAAGATACCACTAATGTAGCAAACTAAATAAAACACTCTGAAGCTATCATCGACACTTCTCTGAACTACTCCTGGTTACTTGCACATACTTATGTGGAGGCAACATTCAAACAAAAAGGTGAGTAATCATAATTCATTATAAAATATATAAGGAAAATACAGGTAGTTACAAACAACCTCATCATATAACATCACATATTATTCATCAATGTGTCATACTCACATATACATCACAATAGCACTTAAACACCTTTCATCATTAAAATAATCATATACTCACATAGTTTACAATTATCATCACCTCAAAACTCATCAACAAAATTATGCAATGTCATATAGGATGTTAATATACAATACTGACTCAATGCATGTGTGAGGCAACTAGGAAAATGAATAATAAGGTGGCCATCAAATGTTATTTATCCCACATAAGAGAAAGGAAAATATCGAGTAAACCTGAGAGAAAACAAGGTCTTGCGACCAAGTGAAGGGTACGGGAGTCAATTACGCAAGGGAAATGTATTAGCACCCTCGCGTCTGTGGTACTCCACAAAATCCACTCTTGTTATTCTAATCAAAGAGTGTGTCTATCTAAATTTACAATCTAAGGGAATGCATGAATGTGAAAGAAAAATACAGGGAAAATAAAGGTTTTAAATAGTTGTGCTCGCTTAGGCCCTACAACCCAATGCCCACGTATCCTTTTTAAGGAATTAAAGCGCTGTAGTTCGGCTCAAAAGTTTCTATTTATTTGTGTTTTTTAATGAACGATGATAATTTCTCATTCTATTGTCGCTCGACCTTTAGAGACTCACGCATCTGTTATAGAAAGGAATTAACATGTTCTCACCTGAAAAGGTTTTCAAAGAAAATCCCGAAGGCGGACCGAAGGCAAAAAGGTTTGAATTTGTTGAGTGTTTTTGTTCGGAATAATAGCAAATGGATCCCACTATAGGGACACTTGCTACTTCTTCGCTTATTTGCAAAATAATTCGAGATTTGAACCACGTTAAAGACTATGATTGAAAGGAAGTACAAGGTTCAGTCTGTACCGCCTCATACTTCCTCCAATACTTAAGGCTCATTCCATGTGGTTTGCATCATTATTGTTATGTGTTTTCAATATTTGATTAAGAAAAAAAGGGTTTTCATTTTAACAGATGCAAAAGGGGAATGAAAAATCTAAGAGAAATTATATTCCTAATGTTATCATACAATGGTGGTTATAAAGTTAGGATTAAAAAAAGGGAAAATCTACCTAATGTTAGCATGCATGGTTTAAAAGCATAATGTCTACCTTGGTTATAAGTGAACCAGGTGAATCCTAAAGGAACATACAAAGATAAGAACAAGAGTGTTAACAACAAATAAGATGGCTTACAAGTCTACCAAACACCTTTGCGTCTTACACCAACGCCTGGATATCTCCAGGACTTCTGATGCAAATGCATGTAAGAGAGATAAAATCAAGTGGTACTTAACGGAGAAAGTCCATTGCCTCTTCAAAACCGCGCAAGTGATAAGAAAACTCTACCGAAAGTCTCTTGGAATTTCCCTGATGAAGATTTCTCTTAATTTACTTCGAAACCTCTGAAAATATTCAACAACATTAATGCACAATTGTGATAATACATATCATGGATCGAGCACTACTATCGTACACAAGTTGCATCAAGATATCTCAAGCAAGGATCCAAAATTTAGCATAATAATTCATCGTACAAGAAATCTAACTAAATCTCTAAAAATCCCCAATATTGTTTACTATTTTTATCCATGAATTTTCATCATCAAATTACCAAAAATTAATGGAAAGAAAAATTAATAGAAAAAAATCAATATCTTATACAGAGAGGGTGCCAAATAGAATACAAGGAGCTAATTCAGAAAAAATAAGTGCCAGGCCCATTCATTTTTTGTTTGCAAGTTAACGAGCCTAAAAGAGTGACGTTCGGTCCAGCATACTCTTCACCAAATTTTTATTAATTCAATTATTAAACAAATAATTAAAATTAAATTAAGTTAAATTAAATTGATAGAATCAAATGATGAAAGTGAAACGCAACGTTTAGTGCCTTGTATGACTCTTCAGCTTCCACAAACTCAAATCGAGCCCAATCTCTTCCTTCTCATCATTTTCGAACCACAGACGTTGGGCGCCGCCGTGCCATCGTCTCCGGCGGCGGAACAAGGAAACAATACCACCAATTCCTCCGTAATATCCCCCTCTCTCCAAGTCCCTTACCAATTTCACACGAAACCTCTTCAATCGTACGGATCGAAGAATCGAAGGGAGAAAATCCTAAGTCCCCGAAAATGCTAATTCAAGTGATAACTGCAAGAATTCATGATATTCGACGTGCACCGAGTGATATATCGAAAAGGAGCAAGCACCGAAAGTATTAATGGAAACCTGTTTGAAGCTTAGCAATTCTAATACGGTGGAGACGAACTCCGACGTGTATTCAGAGGTAATTCCGTCAACTCCCTGGTTTCTTTATATTCTTCTGACTTTCGACTCTGAGACTTCTTCTTCTGATTTTTCGTTTTCTAATCAGTAACTTAGGTTGCGCTATTGAAGTTGTTGCGGTGTTGTTGTTACAGGTTTGCTGTTGACACGATTATTGATGACAAGGTGATGAGGATACCGCGGTTTCAGAGAGATGAATATTGCAGCGCTGATGTGAAGATGATGAGAAGTTGCTCTGAGATGCGAAATCGAAATGCAGAGAGCTTGTTACTTTGTAGTGGTGGCTGTGTTGATGAAAATTGAAGATTGATGCTGATAGAGGTCGAAGAAGATGAAGACTCAGGTGAAGAAGGTGCTCTTGAGGATTTCTTTTGGTGAGTTTTTTCTCTGTGTGATGTGTATTTTTTTTCTCTGGAGTTTTTCTGAGTTTTTGTGATTGGTAAATAATGAATCTATCCCTGTGTTGAATGATGATTGTCTATATAGGTTGTTACGGATGCGAAAGTTTGTTACAACTTGAAGCGATCTCGGCCCTTGGTTTGATGAACTCGGTTAGGAAATGAAGGGTGAGATTGAGATCCAGTTAGAGAGTTTTAGATGCAGTTAGGAGTTAACTTATGTTAGGATTCTATTAATAACTGTTTCTGTTAGAAGGTTAGTTAACAGTTGTTTGTTAGAAGCTAGAATTCTGCTTTGGACATTATTTGGTTTTGTTGAAATTAGTTAGAGGAAAACTGTTTAGGAGAGTTAATATAGTTAGTTCTAAGTTTGAAGTGTTAGAACCTTAGGTTAGCAACAGGCAGTTAAGATATTTAGTAGGAGTTAGTTTACAACATGTGAAGTTAGTTGCGAGTTTGAAAAATCATTAGAATACGGTTAATTATGAAGAAAACGGCTATTAATATGTTAATTATTGATTGTTAGTATGATTGTTATCTTGTTTTGTCGAAAAGAAAATATTGGTTAAAAGCACTGTCAGAATCACTTAGAGGCTCGAGAATAAAACAGTTAGCGAAATGTCGAACACATTAGTAGTTAGTTCAAATGAAGAAAAGTTAGTTAGTGCAAAATTCTGTTTAAAAGTTAATTGTTAGAGGTTGAAAACAGTTATGAGTTAGTTGAAGCTGTTTGAATCAGTTATGGTTAGGATGCTAAGAGCCATTAGATCGAAAGTTGGTTATTGAATCTATGGTCATGATCGAAACAGTTGAATCGGTTATTAAGAGGGATAGTTAGTTACAAATGACTGGTTAGTTAATTGGGTAGGACTGTTAGATGTGAATGTTAAGGTTCAATGTGTTAATGGCCTGCCTTGGATGCGAAACGGATTTCTGCTTGTGGCTACTAGTTATGTGTACGAATTGTTTTTGCAGGTTTTGATATTGGTGCAGGCCAGGGTTGCACTCTCTTTTTCTCTTTACTTTTTCCTTTGATTTGTACTGAAGCAGAATTCTGGTTTTTTCATTTGGCAGCAGGGTGGTTTATTGTTGTTTGACTGACTCGGTTCGATTCAAAATACAAGGTTGAATGAGCATGAAGATGAGGCAAAGATATGGAGAAGGCGGAAGATTGGTGAAGGCACGAAGAACTTTGGCATAGCATGAAGTAAAGGATCGGATGAAGGTTGAAGACTAGGGAATAAGTTTTAGAAAGTATTTTGAATGTAATATTTTGTGTAATTTTCTGTGTGATGTAATGGTGATGTACTTTGATGTATTTGCTATTGAAATTTGATTTAGTTTGTAATGGTTTTGGATCAACATATTTGTGATCTTGGAAATTCAGTACTAGAATCCAAATATTCAAAGCAAATTTCTTTTCAATATTGAATTTGGATTTCCCTCCCATGCTTTTAATTTAAACTTCCAATATTCAATTCCAACTCGTTACACTTTGAATGAATGATGTATGGTGAAGATCACAAAGTTGAATCCTGATGTTTGCTCCATAGATTCCAAGTGACCAATCTTGCATGAACACTTCCAATTTGTATTGTTTATTGATCATCCCCCAAAGATATAAAGAATGACCGAACCTCCCTAAAATCTTGATGACAATTTGAACTTGCATTGGTTGCAATGAATGGATTCTAGACATTTTGAAAAGAGGAACTTGAAGTGATGAAAGCCTTTTCTTGCAATTTGTAACTTGTAACTTTGCTTCCAAACAATACCTTTTCTTTCCAACCTTGCAAGCATTAAGCACTTTTGATTCATTTGAACACTTAGTAGATATCTTGAATGGATACTAACCAAACAACGAATCCACATCTCTTCAACCCTCTTATCCTCAAATCTCAAGCAATCAAATACTTGCATTACAAGCAACACAAGTTGTTTTGACCAAAAGAATCTACAAGCTCATCTCTTACGCCATGATTTGCATTTGTAATAGCGCCTTAAGGAAACCTCGAAGAAAATGGGACTTGAAACAATAGATGAATACTCGTGCCATGAAACCTTAGTCACATAAACGAAAATCCTCGCACTTGACTTTGAGATACCTTGAGTTGAGACACCCTTATGCAACATATGGGAAAAACCCTAATTCAAAGGGAATCCTTGATGCCTTTGACCTTTGATCCCGATGTTAGATGAATGCATGCAATGTTAGATGACCTAATAAAGAGTATATGTATGGCTGATATGAGAAGCATAAGCCAGTCGGGAGTATAATTATAAGAGGGAAAATTTTGAGGTGCAACAATGTAATTTCAATATTTTATCAACACCTGGTTCATCATCCTTCAAAGATCCCCACCATAGGATCAATTCCCTCTTGAAACTGGAGCACGTCATAAACACACTCAACCCACACAATGGAATTGAGGCTCGTCATAAGCAGACCACCTTTCAAAAGTAGCGTACCACCGTCCAAAATAATGCTATGAATGCATGATGTATAAAACGTCACATAAAGTTTGACCACGGCCAATCAATTGCATCATCATTCATATAGTCATCATCATATAACATGTATACACATTAAACATGCACATCATTAAGACATCATCATGGATAACATCAATTACATCACGACAACAACATCGTAGAAACTTCATAACAACTTCATAACAACTTCACAACAACATCATATTCATCATTAAAATAAATAAAACCTTATAACATAGCAAACATGTAATAAGTCAATCTCATCAACACATGGGTACTGAATCATGGATCAAATAACTCATATAATTCTATCATAATATAGTTCTATGCGTTAGCTTCATAATGCTTCGAACGGTGTGTCAAACGGAGTCCTGAAATTCAAAGTTACGATATTTTGAACATTTCTCCCATATAACTCACCACCTCCTCACCCGACGGTGGGGCCATCGCTGCCTCGCTCGCATGACGATGCTATAGCAATATCTCTTCCTCATACATTTTCCAGTAGCTCACTGTTTCCATAATTTTGCTCGCCAACAGGCTCGCCCGACGATACTGGGAGCACTCTGCTCGCCCCAAGCTCGCCCGACGGTGCTTGCAAAATTGTAACTTCTCAGTTGCAATTTTGAACTATCGAGCCTCATTACAAATTTGATTATAGTACAAAACTCAATCCAAATTCACAACAATCATCATATGTCACATATCATCTTCAAAATATATTACCATATCATATTGACCACAAGTCATATCATACAAACATCATCAAATCAACACTTTCATCATGTTTTTCATCAAATCATTACACAAAGCAAAACCTACATCTACCTTAACCCTCTATCAATCATAATAAACCGAGATTAAACCCCTTACCTTAATTCTTAGTGATTGAGTCTCTTCCTTCATGTTCCACGAAGTTCTCCTATTGATTCTCTGTAAGCTCTAGCTCTTCTTCGTGTTCTCCCAAATTTTCAATCGTACCGAATGAATCCTACCTCTCTCAATTTTCTCTTTTTATCCCTATGACCCTTTCTATATTATTCCAATAATACCCTCACTTATCATCATATATTACCACCATACCCTTATTCTCCCTTACAACTATTTATTTTATTTAATTATTAAGAAATCTAAATAATATAACAAAATTACTTAAATTCAAATAATTCTAATTAGCACCTTAGTTCTTCACTACTCCACAATATACCACACATGCATCACATAAACTCACAATAAATCACAAAAAAATCACTTAAATGATTAAATCTAGATGTTGGGGTGTTACACTAGCCGCTACGAATGAAGGCTTTAAGTGAGAGAGTAGAAAATATGGATAGGGTTTCATAGACCAAATTTTTATCAAGTGAAAAATCTTCTGCACAAGGGTTCTATTTATAGAACCACTAGTGTGGGATGCAAGCTAAGAAGTCCACTTAAGTGTATCATACCTTATGGTGTACCATATATCACTTAAATGTGTGGTACCTTACCATATTACGTATTCTACTTAAGTGCACCATACCTTACAGTGTTTTATAATCCACTTAAGTGCACCATATCTTATGGTGTTCCTTATTTACTCTATATCTCATCAATATATTCTTATGTGTCTGACTCTGTAGGTACTCGCGACAGAGATGTTGAAAGAGATATGAGAGAGAAGTTATAAAGTGGATGTTGGACCCATGTTACC